CTTGAAAACGTCACTCCCCTCCTTAGGCATCCCCTTTGATGCCTTTGCACCGAGCTAAGAACAAAGGCAAACTCCTGGTCATGGCGCACAGGGCTCCGCGTGGCCTGCTCCCCGCCCCTCCCAGCCCGCCTTCCACTGCCCTTCTTCCCTCGACATCCTGCTCTCCCACTTGCAGCCCTCAGAGGAGCCTGTGACCCCTCATTCCCGGATGCTGCCTCTCCTGGAAGTCTCTTCCCTCTTCTTCCCTCCCTCTTACTCTACTCATTTCTCCAGGTAGGAGCTACGGCCATCCTTCCTCCAGGGAGCCTTCCTATCCTTAGAAACACCTACTGCATGCTTCCACAGCGTCTCTGCCTCGTGCCTAAAACATATCCCCCCATGATGGCTTGTGAAAATTGTGAGAGCTCCTTAGCTATCCTGTCAGTCAAACTGTCAGCAGCATTAACTGGTCTTGTCTGAAGAGGCGCACTTCAAAAGACATCTTACATTTAAAAATGGATTGTTTTTAAAATATCCGGAAAATATTTCTGTCTGTCTTCTCTCCACACTTCCCTTTCCATTCCGCTCCCTTTCCTCTCCCTCGCAAGGCACTGGGTCTATTGAGGTATATCATTTTGATTTGTTTAAATTATAAGCCAGTAATAAAACTCAATATTTACATTTGCCACTTTGGTTTCACTAAAGCTGTTCTCATAGTTCAGATAGAACGGTGTTCTTGCTTTGATTCACAAAGCCATAGGCAAGGAACAGGAAGAAGAAAGAAGGGGTGTCAAGGAATGTCCCAGGACACAGTGACGTTCTGAAGGCCAGCTGGTCACCGGCTCCCTCTGGGGCTTATTCTTCTTAAACGTGCTGCTGGTCTCCACAGGGAAGATTAAGCTAATGACTGTTGTTCAAGTCATGGATCTTTGCACATTCCAGGTTCGTCTATAAGCGTAGGAATGAAATATTAGCATCAGGAGACACCGTCTTTCTCTACCGACGAGTAGAATCTGTCAGTGAAGGGGTGTAGAATGTGTTGGAGAGAAATTATAAAGGGGGTGGAAGATACCAGTCCCTTCTCTCAGAGAGTTTATACTTAGGAGACTTTATTATTAGAAAAGCTATATTACTATTATTACATAAACTCTCAGAAAGCTTATTATTAAGAGAAAAATACCAAATAAAATCCTTTGAAAGTGGAAATGACCCAAACGTAATTCCACAGTCACGCAGTTACGGATTTGCCCAAATTTGTAAGAGGAGCGGTGTTGCAGGACAGTGTGAGGTCCTCAGAGACGCTTGGCGGCAGTCAGCAGGCACGCCAAACGCGCGGGCCACACGAGAGGTCTCTGAGCATATCCGAGGCACGAGTGGGATTCGCGATGACATCCGATGATGTCTCTGTTACGACAGAGAGAGCACACGTGATATTGGGCAATCGCCATCCCTCTCGGAGCCCTATTTTCCTTAAGAAATGAGAGTAACAATAATAGTTATAATAATTTCCAACTGACAGGATTGCGAAGAGAATTGGGATGAAGTCTGTGAAAAGATTTTTTGAATGATGAAGCGGTGATGATAACGAAGAAGGCGGTGGTGGCGAGGGTGATGATGCTGCTCTTCCTCTTCACTGGAAGTTGAGTAAAAGACGTTTGATCCTGCTCTTGCAGAGACAGAAGACCAGATGGTGCTCTTTCCTCCGCTTTGGAGATCTTGCTATTGTATAAAGATGGCATGTGACTGGCAGAACAGAAAGCTCTCAAGGAGGCACTGCTGCAGGTAGGTGGAAATAAGGGCTGGCTGGGCCCCTGTCATCCGGCCACTGTGTCTGTCTGCCCTTATGCTCTCTGTTAAACGGTGTTTCTTTCTTGGGACCTTAAGGGAATCTATTCATTTACAGTAAGAAAGGGGTACACACCATATGCCATACTCTGCCCTGGAAAAGTTTATAATCTAGCAAGCCACATGCATACCTAGAGCACACGTGTGCATGTACACACACACACACACACACACACAAATAAAATGTGACAAGAAATTGGAACATAGCTTTCATAAAAAGAGGCGTGATATGTTTTGTGAGTCGAACAGAGTGGGTATCTCTACAGAGAGCATGAATATGATCAGGTGCTTGAACGATTAAATGGGCATTGTGAAACAGACAGAAGAAGCACGCCAGTCGGAGGGGACTGGCTGAACAACATGAAAATAATCGACTTGATTTTCAGTCAGAATAAGGTGCCCTGAGTCTTTGGCAGGGAGTGGCAAAACCAACTGGAAAGGAGGCTAGGGAAAAGTCCAGAAGGCTTCGAGTGCCATGCTGGAGTTTAGAGTCTGTCCTTAGGTAGTAAAAGCCATCAGTGATTTATAAGGAGGTGGCTTGATCCCATCTGTGTTTTAGGAAGATGACTGACATTTATAGACAAAAACAGAATATTTCCATGACTTTGGGTTTAAGAGTGAGAGAGAAATAAGGGTCACAAGAGGCATGCAGATCAGTTACGAGACCGACTCAGAGAAGCTAACTGCCTGAACTAGGGCAGTGCCGAATGGAAGGATGAAAAAAGGAGGTATTCGAGGGACATTTAGTGATAGCACCAATGAACAGCTCCAGTCTGAAAAAGAAGGAAGAGACAAAGATAATCTTCATGCTTTGAGCTCAAAGTTTTAGACAGTATTTGTGCTTAACCAAAAGCGGGCATCCAAGAAAGCGTAACTGACTCACGGAGAACGGTGATGTGTGTCATCTGAGACGTGTCTACTTTGACTCTAGGACATTCAGATTAACTTATTCAGGAGGGAGTGGTGAATTTCGATAAAGTTAAGCATATGGATAGGCGACATCAGCCATTATCGAAGCCATGTGCTCGGATGAGATCATATATAGAGACGATTTTGAGAAAGAGGGAGAAGAATTTGAAAACATCCAGGTTAAATCAGATTAAAGAATCATGACCCTAAAAATAAAAGTCATCTTTGTACAAAAAGAAATATATGACAAGGTCAATGACTTGTTCTTATACCAAGTGGTCCCTGAGTTTTTACTTCCATTCCAAATCGCACCCTTGGGACAAAGGACTTTATTCACTCTGAAGACGTCCTGAGGGCCTAGCATATGTTAACTCCTGCCCTAGGGAAGTGGAGATACAAGATACAAGAACAGATCAAGGAGCATGAAGCTCTGTGTTAAGAGAGAGTTGAACAGCTACTACCTTCACCATCAGTGAAGCCTGGTGCGCACTGACAATGTTCAACCGAAAACAATTCTTCCACATGGCCACGGTTTCAAGCTTGTGAAAGTTCCACCAGACTAAGCTTAGATCATGACTAGACTATGTAGCCTTTCTTGCATGAGCAGGGGCCCTTAGCCACGAGGTGGATGTATGGGCCAGACTAATCAACCAATATTGTGGGGAAAGCTTGTATTTAGTTTTTCTATACTGTTTCCTTGCAGACATGACTGTCGCTCTCTCTGATGCTTGCTTCGAACCTCAGTGGCTTTGAGTCCCACCAGAGACTTTCTGCCTTGCCCAGAGAACCCGGTCAGCAGGGAAGAGAGCCCATACTTCCGCACTGCATGGCCACCATCAGAGCGTCAGCTCCTGTGTCCCACACCTTACTACCTAAGTAAAGAGGCAAGGAGTACGTGCTTTTCAAATGGTAATAGGTGGGAATGAAGTGAATCAGGAAAATCAGTTTCTCCCAAAAAACATACCATTGCATAGCAGTTCAATTCAATCCCTGTAAAGGTCTCTGAAAGACATCATAGTCATCTTAGGACTGGTGGGTTAGTGATCGAATTATTTCGGTCAGAGGCTTTTCTACATCTTTCAAAGCATGTCACATCCACTCGTCCATGCCACATTCACGGATTCCACCATATTTGTGGAAAATCGAGTATCTGCCGGGTCTAGCAAGAATCACTACAGAGCCAAGTTACAAAGTAACTAGTAAGTACAGTATGGTCTACTGATTCTCAATTTATTCTTAATCTGTTTTGTAAAGATACCTGTGGCTTACTATAAATATTCATATATGCTAATCCTTTCCCCTTACGAATTGACATCCTAGTACTTCAAATTAGCTCATCAGCCCGTGAAAGTAGCTATAAAAGTAACTTTCATGTGTAATAAATTGACAACATTGAACAAAATCCGATTTATATTTTTAAAATATTCTTTCTTTTTCATCGCGTGCTCACTTAGCATAGAAAACAAAGGAAGTGCTAGTAGCCTCACCACTGGTCATAGAACAATCACACTGTACAGCTGTTTCATCTCTTTATTCTGATAAATAGAGGAAAAACTGGTAAACTACACAGCATATGAAATAATGTACTGTAAATAACAACTGGCATCAGTGAAAAGGTATTTGATACTTGAAAAAACTATATACATATTAAGTCTCTATCAAGGAAAAGCCAAAAGACATCCACTTGAAGTTATTCATGAAATATTTTGGTCGACCCCCCAATCCAAAATCCATTTTTTTTCCCTTTTAGATGAGACATTGATTTCACGACAGATGTGTGCATTCGGCTCTAATGCCCTGCTCAGGTTAACAAGGGGAAGTTATTCCTTAGACTTATTCCTAGCAGCTGGGCTTACTTCCTAGGTCATTTACGATAAAACTAGAATATCTGGGCTATCTATAGAGTTTCAGAAAAGATCCTTAGGACTGCTCCTACATTGTCATTACCAATGGAGCACGCCACAATGCCAGGTGCCATGTCCAGATCTGTGTGCAAGTGGCTCTGGGGGAGACCGGAAGAAAGGAGTGTGGGTACAAAGACAATGAAATTAGAAATGGGTGAGGCAGGTGGTGGCAAAGATGCTAAGAACAAGATCAGGATAATCAGCCAGGTGTCTGAGAAGGGTCAAGTCACCACAATCACCCGCTGACCAGTGTTAGAAGGAAGTAAACTAAAGGAAACACCACAGGCTTCTCATTAAACTACACCCACTCGTGGTGTCCCCTCGATGTTGCTGTGACTATCATGATAGAAACCGACTGGATGTTCAAGGGCAAGAGACTTTGCCACTGAACAAGATGATGTCATTCTTCCTGATGACAAATACGAACGGGTGGTCAGCTCTGAACACCGTCGATTCGGGGAGCAGCTTCTCTACGACGTTACTCTCTGAGATGGCCGCCGCCTCCGTACCGTCCTCGGTAACCTCTATGTATGACTTGTGCATCAGTTTCGACAGGTACAGACGACCTCCTGAAGCTATGCCGGAGAAATCTGCTCTGGACTCAGAAAAGATGTCTTTCAGCCCGAGAGCTTTTAAATTGCGCTTGATTTCATAATTCTTCTCTATCTTGAACTGGGGAAGAAACACCTTGACGTACTGAGCGCTCATTTTTCTTGGATTGGTCCAATTCATTAGATTCTGAAAAGTCAGTTTGTTTTCAATCTGTAAGAATATTTAAAAGGCAATTTAGAACCGTATGCTTAAGGAACAGATGAAACAAGACCTACAAAGATATATAGTTTTCCATAATTATCCTCTCCCGGATACTGTATTTATGCGTAGGTGTGTGAATGAGTGCTGGAGACTTTGGAAATGGGAAATGATTATAACAAATAGTTCAAGTACTCTTTAATAAATCACATGTTTAATTTGTTTTGCTATGACAAGGTATTTGGTATTCCAAGGCATTTCTGTTCTCTGTCCACATATGAACATACATAGCCAAAGTGAAACAATGGACAGGTGAAGGAATTAGGGAATCAGAGATCATCGGAAGGAGAAAGGAACTCAGCAGTCATTTAAAACAGTGTTTCCTGACCATTTCTTCATCACAAAAGAAAGAGAAAATGATAATGTTTGTGTAGCTTGCAGGAGTAAACCAACAGAACCCCAAATGACCTGAGGCAAGTAGCTCAGAGCTCTAGCCTCAAGGACTTTGGTGATCGGTATCTTCCAGACCAATCGAGTCTGGGAGGCTTGGATCCGAATTGACTCTCTTACTCAACACATGGGATGACTGAAACTCCAGGGAGGAGCCCATGTCTCTCTCTCCATCACCACTGCTGCCTCAAATGATTCACACGTTAAATTCACCAACTCCTGAGAACTGGTCGAAGATGATTCCAGACTTATAATGGGAAGATGTTTTATGCACATCATTGACAAATCTTAGGTATGGGCATTTGTTCTCAAATTCAGGCTCACTGGGATCCTAAAGAGAGTTTTCACAGATGTTCAACCCTACCTGTATTCTTATTGAGAATCTAAATTTACACAATCAAATTTAGTCTAATTTAAATGTTCTGTGTGTCAATTACCCAGTTTGAGGTTAATCTGTAATAACTTTTTATTCTGAGTTAGAATTTTTTTCTCGTTTAGTCCACTGCGAAGCCAACTGCCTCATTATTATTTAGTTATGTAGGACTCAGTACGTATGTAGACTTATACTAATCTGATCCACAATTAGGGCAGTCTATTACAGAAAAAGAAAACTCAGACAATACGTGCAAGAACAAATTTCTTTTGAGTTACCTACCGCTTGTTCTATCTGGGCTACTTTTTCTGTCATTGCAGATTATTTGAAGTAAAATAATCGATGTGTGCAAAAATCTCATTGTTATAAAGATTATCAAGTGACTTATTTAATGAGTACCAATATTTTATATTTTCACACTTTAGATTTTAAAATGCCAACTTGGTGACATTTCACTTGCTGTTCATGTCAAATGAGATAATATAAATGAAGCGCAGAGCACATGGCCAGCTTGGCACATAGTAAGGCTCAACAAATAGTCCTTTTGATTGGAAGAATGGAAAAAGGAAATGAGATCTAGGCTTCTGGGACTGCAGGCTGCAGACTCAGGTGGCCAAATTCACAGGGTGGGGAAGAGGACAGGGGGTTAAAAAAATATCAGGATCTGAGATATAGTGATGACGTCTGGCTTCCATGGCCACCACTGCCTGTCTCCTGCTCTGTGCTGATCTGTTGCTTTTGCTACATCAGTCACAGGGAAGTCTCTAACCTCTGTTTTCCCTAGACACACAGCAGCACAGAGTGAGACCACACATTTTAATTCTCAAAGGGCTATGACTTCAAAACTCCATATCATTCCTGCCTGAAGATGCTTAGTCTATCAACATTTCAATAATACATGAAAGACAGTTTTCATCGCCAAGGGCAAAGAAGATCTAAACTCATGCCCTCTCCCCACCATAGTTGAGATTTGAGAGGGTTCCAATTTTACAGTTGTTTAACTAAAATTATGCTAAACTGAGGTGAGGCAATCTCAACATCTATAACAATGCCTGGCACATAGTAAATACTCCTTAAATATTTGTCAAATGAATGGATAAGTGGGTAAGTCTCTAATATTCCAACAACTTGAAATCTTAGAGTTGATGGGTGAACACATCACTAACAGCACCCTAAAAGTCTTTCCCAGCAGTAAAAGGGGCAGTGGTTAACTTACCTGGGAGAGGTCACTCTCAGGCAGCATCACATACATGCTTATGCCACCATGATATTTGAGTTCGAGAATTTGCATATATGGGTCCTGAATGACAGACAAATTGAACTTTCGTTCTTGATACATCAGGGCGACTGGTTTCCCGGGACACTGAAAGTCAAGTCACAAAAAAATTTTAATAAGCCCACCTTATTTTACTTATTGACCAAGTGCAGTAAGAAGGATGTTTCGGTTTTTGTTCAGTTGATCCTGTTTTTTTTCTGACATGTTACCAATAGTGGTTACACTGGTGCACATCTTAACGGTTAAAGCACAGACTTTAACTGCTTGAGTTTAAAACTCCCCAGCTGTGTGGCCTTGGGCGAGTTACTTCCCTGGGTCTCCATTTCCTCCTCCATTGAATGGGTAACAGTGGTCTCTACTGCATATGATTATTATAAGGATTATGAGAATTATTGTATCTCGCACCTGAAACACTGCCTTGCACTTAGTGTTTTATTCAAAAATGTCTGTATAATAAGTAATTAACCATTATTAAATAGCGTTACAATTAAAAATCCATGCTATAAATGTTTTTGCTTATCAGAAGTAAAATAGAGACTAGGCCCATAAAAATTACAGAATTTAAGAATGAGGTCTCGTAAAAAAATTGTTTAATTCCTGCAAAATATTTGATTTTCCCTCAAATTAACCTGGGGAAACACAGTAGCTTTAACCTTGAGGATACTGTTTGTAGACCTGGAAACACCACAGAGGTGTAATAAACCATCTTTTTCCTAAAAGGTATCGTGATTCTGCCAACCTGTCATCTTTCCTGTCATAAAATATGTACAGAAAGTTCTTCATGGGGAGAAGAGACCATCATTTGTGCTGGAGCCAAAGGCCGTTCTGCCCCTGGAAAGGATATCCTTTTTGACTGAGAGTTCGAACCTCAGAAAGCACACTCCTGGGGCCATGGAGGAAAACGGGTCCCTGGCTAGTGAGACAGATCAGCCGAACTAATCCCGGTACAGGCAGGGGCTGGCATGTCACAGCCAGGATGTGGCATTTCCATATTAGGGCAAGGGAGGAGTCACACAGCTGAGACGTGATGGAAAAAGACTGAAACAAGACTTTGAAGCAAAGAGGTCACCTCACCAGTTTTTAAAGTGATGGAACCCAAACTGTCATCAATGATGTAGATTCCACGGCCTATTAGAAGCTATATATTATAGCTATATTATAAAGAATACAGTACAGACAGGGAGATAATTTTAAACAGTTATCATGTATTAAGAATTAAGTAAAAACTGCTTTAGGACCAAAAATAAAAACCAACGAACCATGCAGGAGACAGGCATGGTGTATCTTCATTGAAGGAAAAGAACCAACAAATGCAATCTACTGGGGGAGATCGAAGGCA